TATTGTACATATATTATCATATATACTTAATACACTACTATATACATACAATCAATATAAGTAGATAAGATGAAGTAGGGAAGGAGAATATAAATATGGGTAAACCACTTGTAGCGTACTACAATGAGGATCCCTATTGGAAGTGATATTATTATATATGATAGATGTATCATATATATAAATATATCTATTATTAACATATAGTGCTATTATCAACATTGTATATCTATACATTCTGAAACACTAATACATATTCAAATATTACCTAAAATATATTCTGTATTGTGGTGTGTGTGGGCACTCTCTTCTCTCTTCGTAAGTAGCTATACCTCCATAATCTACTAAGGATTGTAGTCTAAACTGAGCGTCAATAATTCGTATTACTATCTACAACTCATTAATACCTACGGGTTGCTTTGTTAACTACTACACACACATCCTACACACCACATAATATGGTATATCTCGCCATTTTTAATTCCTATATATAAAAATATATTATAATATATATATATTATATATATTAATAATTATATATATATATATTAAATATATATTAAATTAATATATATAATAAATACTATCTAATAGTGTTAATATGCATATGTAATATTTTATATATCTATAATGTAATAGTTCGCTTATAGTGTTGTTATCGTGTGTATGACGTATGTATCAATATACGTTACGTATACATACTATATAATATATATATATATTAATATATCTATGTATATATTAATTATATACGTACGAATTATGTACATATAATGCATATATAAAGATAAATATATATAAACCCATTGTACCTCTCCGCCTACTACTCCTTTGTATGTAAATTAATCATATATACTATATTAATATTATCTACTTATCATCATATTTAATCAAAAATATAACTATACATAATCACCATATACATTAACATACATGCAAATAATAGCTAAATACCAAACTATTAATAGTGGAGTTGAGTGTATGGTGCTGTCCCTCACACTCACCGCATAACAATCACATATGTATAAAACATATATAACATAATGTATTAGTATTAGTGTATGTTATCTAATACTATTAATAGATAATAGAATATAGACTAGATATAGAAATGAGCTGAAGAGAGTAAAATACTTATTGATATGATCACACACCTTACGTTGAGATAGCTAAACCCAACTTATATTCACAGCCCCACACTTATTTTAAAGCCCCTTACCTAAATTGTATCTAAGGGCCTTTGAGCATGCTATGAAAGGATTTGTATGCTGTAGACGAGACGAGAGAGAGAGTTAAATATGGGTATGATGTCGTGCGGTACGCGAAGTCACGAAGACATTTTGTGTGTTGTAGTGGAATCGATAGTCACCACATACTACACGTCCATCACACTATCCTATCGTGAATTAAGTTGGTTCAAATTTGACAGTGAAGAAACGCTATCGTGACCCACTATATATATATCAACTTACACTATGATAACCTACACTACATTTAATAATTTCCCTATCACATTATATATCATAATATATATATATATTATATAATATACCTCACTATTTTACCCATCTCATATATTATAACTCTATATATACAATCACCACACAACCTCTCTCAATGTATCGAAGCACGGACATCGCAAATAACATAAGGCGCGTGTCGGTCTGTAATCGTGTCGGATACACTGTCGAACACACGTATACGCTATGTATTTTTCTTAGATTATGCCCTAGTGTGGCGTTCGGTTGCGTGCTTCGGATCCGTTGTCCGTGCTACATAGTATACTTATGTGTGTGTTGTCGCCGGCCGTCGTGGAGCCGGTCGTGTGTGTGTGGTGGTGTATATACTACTATTATATATATATATATATATACACACACACACACACACACACACACACTGTGTGTGTGTGTGTGTGTATACACACACACACGTGCGCGCGCGCACACACACACACATAGATACACATATATACATATACATAGATATACATAGATATACATATACATGTACATATATACATGTACATATGTACATATATGTATGTGTGTGTGTATACATACATACACACACACGCATATACATATACATATGTATATATGTATAGGTATGTATGTATGTATGTATGTATATACACATATACGTATAGATGTATAGCATACATACACATATATACATGTATAGATGTATATACATATACGTATACATGCATGCATATATGTATATATATGTAGAGAAAAATGTAGGAACTTGGTATTTGTGCTTGATAGTGAGGTGGCTCATTCCTATCCACTCTCTAACTCATGTGAATGTGGTCCCCCATTTGAGTGTATGAGAATGTGTCACTTCACTACCAAGCACAAAAACTTGTGCTTGGTACCAATTTCCTCCATATTGCTCATATATGCATATACATATGTATAGATGTATATGCATATATGTATATATGTATGTATGTATATATGTATATTGAAGGATGATGGAGATCCTATAAATTTTGAATGCATTCACTAAAGCTATTAATGGATCAAGATTTAGCTGGTGCAGACAAAAATACAATTTCATGAAGCGCTAGTGTTCCGTTGTTTTTCTCTATGTATATCTGATGGACAAATAATAATAAATGTCGTAAACATTTGATCTTGCAAAGGAATCAGCTTAAGATGCTACAAATACTTGAATAAGATTTTGATGACATATCACATTACCAGATTGAATGACATAAGCTCTAATTATCTCAAATGAACTCAAAAGTATACACTGCTCCCCAATTTGCAGCGAAGCTCTGCTTCTCGTATATGTAACTATGAAAGTAATGAATAAGCTTATATGGTAGGAAGTAAGAACCTTCCTGCGCTAGAAGTCCGAAAACATGTTCTGTGACACATAAATGATGATCCATTCTGATCTTATGATTTTTCAAACCTTGGAAACCAAAAAGAAAAAAAAAGAAAAAAAAGAAAAAAATAGTCATTTGAAGAAATCTTGACCATTCATCAAATGACTTCCGAACAAATCACTATCCAATACAGAACAAGGACACCTTCAATTTATGTCCATGGTTATTTTCAGATATACATGACATAGGTAAGATAGATGTTCCAGCATATCCCGTGTATTTTTGAATTATGGTGTAGGAAATTATCTACCAAATCATTGCATGTTCATTTTTCCCAAAGAAACACAAATGCATATATGCACACACATGTAACATACACTATATCAGGATGGAGTACGCATGTTCCGTTCAAATTAAAAAGACAGATTTGACACTTTTGCAGCACACATTCACCATTGGCCACCATTACTACATACCTTCATGGCTATATTTATCCTTTGAAATTTTGACCAACTCGGTTGATGTAACATCTAAATCCAAACTTCCAATGAGTCCATCAAATCTTGTGTTTGAAAGAGATACTGAATTCCTACTCTATATTCCCTCAACTGTGGATCTTCGTCCATGGCAACATCACCTAGTTCCCAGTCATCATAAGCGTGTCAGGCTACTCAGCAACATATTTTGATTCAGACTCTACATCAGTTCTTCTTTCAGCTCCATCTCCAATATAACATACTGATGAGACTTCTTCAACTTCTGACCTTGATATTTCTACTATTGCTATTCATCAGAGGCCCTATCATGTCAAAGTTGGAGTCAGACCATACAAGAAGAAATGGTTGCACATGAGCAGAATGAAACATGGACCTCGGTAGATCTTCAACTATGGCATGTTTGGATGTCTAGTTGCCATAGGATATTCCCAAACATATGGTATTGACTATGAGAAAACATTTTTGCTTGAAGCCAAAATGACATTAATACTATTGCATATTTCTTTGGCAACTATTTTTCACAAATTATTATATTAGTTACATATTAAGAATGTCTTTTAAAATGGTGTTCATAGTGAGGAGGTATACATGGAGTGATCACTTGGGTTTGTTGCTCAGGTAGAATCAACTTTTTATCAACATAGTCAGCAATGGCGGATTCTTCAAGTTGCATATGTCGATTTAGGGAGGATGAAATAAACCAAAGATACTAAAGTACGCTCCTAAGCTAGCCCATCAGGATGTAGTTAGAAGTCTTCAACATCTGAAGAGTACTCCAGAGGGAAAAGCTCTTGCATTCAGATGGTGGACATCATTGCATATTACGTTTTCAAAACAGATTGGACAGACTTTCCAATCATTAGAAAATCCACCCTTTACTATTATGTGTTTGTTGGAACTTGGAGGTAACATTGTATATCGGAAAAGTAAGAAGCACGATGTTGTCCCCAGAGAATGTCAAAATACTTAGCCATGGCTAACACTGCACGTGAAATGATTTCAATCAAGCTATTACTTGATGTGTTAGGAGTTATCCAAAAGGGTTTAATGAGGTTATATTGTGATAATCAAATAACTATCTACTTTACTTCAAACCCAGATTGCAATTGACTGTTACGTAATCCGAGAGAAGGTAGCTGGTATGAAGTATGAGGGTCCTCTGATAGAAACCAAAAATGTTGTACCTTATTCCCTAAGCTTCTTTGTAAAGATCAGTACAGTTTATTTATGAGCAAGTGAACATGTGTGACGTTATGCTCTACCTTGAGGAGTGAAGCAAGAGTTCAATTGTATTTATATTTAGTCTCATGCTCACTAGATACCTAGACTCGCCCTGTTGCATCACTATACAGAGAGGTAGATGTACTCAAATCATGATCAAAAGAAACAAAACAGTTATTTTAATTGACATAAGTGGATATTCCATCTTGATTTCTACCCTATTGAACATGAAAGAGTTCAGTCTTGAAGATCAACAAGCTTGATCGAATTCTTTTCAATGGACAATTGAAGTCCTGGCAACAACAACACAACGTTCCATGGCAATAAAATAAATATGTCCCGAACTAGAAGCCCTCGGCATAACAGGCCAGCAAGCATTAGAAAAAGATTGGGAATGAAGGATAAAAGGCAATGTAATGTAATTAATTTCGAAGATTGCAACTCACTTTCCTCTGACGAACATGCACCAACGTTTCATCCAAACTTTGCTCAAGACCGCGCAGTTCCTCGACGCCCAACTCATCAAGATCTTCACCCATCCTCTGCCTGCACATCATCAAAAACCAAAGTCACAAAAACAAATCATCTCCAAATTAACCGTTAATCAACCGTTCAAATGCACTTCCAAAACCCAATCACCTTATTTCCTTCCGAAGATTATGGTTACTTTCCTTCAGACTCCTCAGTGTGCTCTGCATTCTCTACACCAATAAAAACCCACGTCAGATTTCAATCAAACAACACCAATAAGAGATGGGTATCTGCCAATTTGCCTCGTATTGATCTTTCCACAAGTCAATCCCAGTAACTTGCTGGTATCGATCCATGATGCTCTTGGTACTGCAATCAATCGACTCCACAATTACCAAAAATAAAAAATAAAAACCCAATTCCATAAAACTCCAAAAAAAAAAAAAAACCAATGAGAGATTACTTGGTGGAGGGGCTGCAGTACTCAGCAAACTTGCCAGTATTCGAGAACATAACAACAGAGACCTCAGCGTCACAGAGAACGGTGAGCTCGTTGGCTTTCTTCATGATCCCGACCCTCCTCTTTGAGTAGGTGACTTGTCTATTTGTTGGGTTCTCAATCTTTTTTATCTCTATCCTCCCCCTCCCCATCTCTCTCTCTCTCTCTCTCTCTCTCTCTCTCTCTCTCTCTCTCTC